TTTTTTTTTTTTTTTTTTTTTTTTTTTTTTTTTTTTTTTTTACTTGTGTGAGGCATTCAATCTCAAGCTTTATATTTAAAATAGTAGAAACACACGTTGAATTGTGTGCCATAGGACAACTCAAGGCATCATTTCTTTGGTGTCGTCTGCTCCCCCCCCCCCCCCACTTTTTGAGATGAGTCTCTTAGTAGCTTGCTGGCCCTCACAGTCATCCTAGCTGATTCTAGGGATGAAGGTCATGTCATTATGGCTTTCAGGACAAGCACCTCACAGTGAGGTGCCCTTTAAATTATATGTAGAGTAAGCCCCTCTCCTTTATTGTTGCCATTCTTTCTGAATTCACATTTTCAGACTTTCAACCTTCTGGAACAGCTAAGTTAGACTTTTTCTTATCCTCTACTTTAATCTTGTTTTAGATTTTGTTTTCTGGGGGGTTATTTCTTCCACTTTATTTTACAATTATTCCATTAAGTTTTACAGTTTGGACATTATATTTTCATATCTTATTCCTAGCAGCTGCCCTCTTATTTTCGTTCTGTGAAAGATTACAGTCAACCCTTCCTAGTTATAGGTTCTTTATCTATTGATCAACTGTCACCTGAAAACATTTCAAATATTATGTATACTGAACATGTAGACTTTTAGTTTACTGTTTTTTTTCAACAGTATGCAATTTACATAGCCCTGACAATGATCTGGAAATGATTTAGCTCAGATGGGAAAGTGTGCACCCCCACATTATACGATTCTATCCAGGGGTTGGACAGTCACAAAATACAGTGCCAGGAGGGTTTCCTGAATTCAATTCTTCATAGACACTGAGGACTGGATGTATCCATACATACTACTTTCTGAAGTTGTCTTACCATAAATAGTTTTGTTTTAGTTGTCTCTTTTGTTAATCCTATTTTTGTCTTTTATCACATTGCATGATTCCTGGCTGTGTTGATCACAAAAGAGCTACAAGGAAGCACTATGATTGGATGGTATGACCTGATCGCCTCTTTGGAGAACTCAAGACAGAATGTTTGCGGTGTGTATATGTGTGTGTCTGTGCGTGCGTGCGCTCACATGTGCACACACATTTGTACAATTATTACTCTCTGTCCACAGCATAGCCCCACAAGGACTGTGTTTGATGCCTCTCAGTCTAGAGATTTTACTTTACACTTTTCAGAGAACTGAAGTTCCATTCTTCTACTAGACAGAGAAAAGAAATCTAGTCCCATGTGTGCAAACCTGTGACAAAGGTTTTATCTCTGCTTTTATCTTCACTGCCAGGTAGTCAGGTCCTAGATGACTTTACCATCTAAACCAAGTTCATCTTGGTTTTTCTATTGATGTCTGAGGGTTCAGCTTTCTTATGCTGTTTAGTTATCCAGTACTGTTTCCTAATGAACAAGATTTATTATTGATTGATGTCTTCTGTACTGTGGTTTTTTTTGTTTGTTTGTTTTTGTTTTCATTTTGAGTTTTTTTGTTGTTGTTGTTTTTTTTTTTTTTTTTTTTGGCCTTGAGCGCAAAGATCTGCCCTCCTCTGTCTCCCAAGTGCTGGGATTAAAGGCGTGTGCTACCACTGCCCTGTTTGTTTTTAGGAGGTAGCAGAGGTGAGCAGTCTCATTAGAAGCACCGTACTTACAAAGGAGTTCCATTCTGTTGACATTACAGACCACAGTTCTGAACTTTGGAAGGAGCTCTAACAGAGCAGAGGGAATTCTTTCAGAGAACAAAGCACATTTATGTGTCATGTAATTATAGTTCAGTCAGTGATGGAACAAAGCTTAAAAATGGAACTTTGGGATTTTGTCACTAGGTAACATTATAGCCATCTTACTATAAATTCAGTGCTGTGTAGACAACAAAAGTATCTCTTTTGCACTTTTCAGAATGTATCCCCTACACAGAAGGGTTTACACTGCTTGAGTTGCAGATGAGGTAGTTGAAGCATTAGGAAGTGAAGCAGCTTACTAAGGACATCCAAAGTTACAGAGACACATATCATTCTTTCTATGTATCTTGACCAATCATCCCTCTAAGGTTTTAGTAGTTGTTATTTTCCAGCTGTAGCTAGATTCTGATAGCATGCCTTCTTTAGGGGGTAGATGAGTTCTTCATGTCAGGTTAGTTTTGAACTAGCTATAAAACGGGGTTAAAGTTCTTATAAAGCTGCTTGTAAAACTCCAATACCAAATGGTCATCCCTGAAAACACAGAGACTGAGATTGTATTTATATATTTAGGAATTTTATATATGCATATATATGTGTGTGCACTATGTATGTATGCATGTATGGAGCAACTATTAATGAAAAAGAGGTCATGAATTTGAAAGGGAGCAGGAACAGTTAATTGGGAGGCTCTGAAGGGAAGAAAGAGAGGGGGAAATGATGTAATTACATTATAATCTTAAAAATAACAGATAATAAGAATTTAAATTAAGATTAGATTACTAGAGTAGCTCATATACTTTGAATATATCATTTCAAGGATTATCGACAAAGGATCTATATAGAAACTATGAAAACACCATAATAGAGAGGCTAGAAAGATGGCTCAGTGGGAAAGAGCACTGGCTGCTGCTCTTGCAGAGGACTCAGGTTCTGTTCCAAGTGCCTGCACAGTGACCAGAGGACCGGGCATACCTCTGTGGGTGCCAAGCATATACACAGTGATCACATGTGCAGTGCAAGCAAAAACTCAAGCACATTAAAAAAAAATCTTTAAAGCCAAACAAACAACAAAAACCTCACCATAATAGAAATGTAGTCCATATAGTTTTTAAAATCATAAAAAAATTATTTTATTTTCAGGTATTACTTTATAATGGAAAGATTATTTTGTTTTGAAGTGTCATAACCTCTCTCAACCATAAAACATAGCTTATTAAAATTTAGACAATTGGGCAGGGAACTGTACAGAGAACAGATGGAGACTGGTGAGGGTGGATGGTACTTTTCTACCCAGTCTTAGCCCTTCCTTTTTTTCTGTAGATACTACCCACTAGTAAGCCTTTAGTACTTTTAACGCTAGCTCGGGGTCTGCCTCCTCAACACCAGAGCCTGTAATGACCAATCTTGGGGCTATGTCTTCAAATATGACTCACTTTGATAAAAGATAAAAAAAAAAAAAAAAGGATTTGGAAAATATTTCACTTATTTTGAACGGATGTTTGTCTTTTCCCCAGGTAACAGAGATCATGGTCTTAAAATGTTCCTAAATTATAATGATAACATTAACATACTTTTGAAGAAATAGTTTGTTCTAGTCTATAAAAGCTTAATAAGTTTTATTAAACTGGGCATAAGAGAAGCCTTCTTATATGTACCCCTCTAGGGTAAAATGAAAAATTAAAAGCAAGCTGCCCTTAAACACTTACAGACTCTTTTCTGCCCATGGTTTTGCTGTGCGAGCGGGAACGAGCGATGTTGCTGAAAAAGGAATCCTTTTTAGTAGCCGATGAGGGTGGAGAGCCGGTGGAGTCTCTTCCCCCAGGTAAACTTTCAGTGCTTGGAGATGAACTGATCGTTTTAGAACTTTGCCCTGTAAGAAAATTAAGCAGCAATAATTAAACACCAGACTGTCACTAAGCCACTGAATATGCTAGCTTTAATAAATAGCGATTAGCTATGAAGTAACTTTTTCACAATGCTAACATAAAGATATTATTTTTATGCCTAGGAGTGGTATAGCTGGATCTTGAGGAAGCACTATTCCTAGTTGTCTGAGAAAGAGCCAGACTGATTTCCAGAGTGGTTGTACAAGTTTACATTCCCAGTAGCAGTGGAGGAGGGTTCCCCTTTATAGAAAGGGGAAAGAGGCTCAAGTATACAATAAGGACATTTGCGCAACCATGTTTGTAGCAGCTTTATTTGTAATAGCCAGAAGCTGGAAACAACCCAGATGCCCCTCAACTGAAGAATGGATACAGAAATTGTGGTACATCTACACAATGGAATATTACTCAGCAATGAAAAATAAGGAAATCATGAAATTTACAGGTAAATGGTGGGATCTGGAAAGGATCATCCTGAGTGAGCTGTCCCAGAAGCAGAAAGACACACACGGTATATACTCACTCATATAGACATATAATATAGGATAAACCTACTAAAATCTGTATATCTAGAGAAACTAATCAAGAGGGAAGACCCTGACTAAAATTGCCTTTCAATCCCCATCCTGAAAGGCAAAGAGGATGGACATCAGAAAAAGAAGAAAACAGGAAACCACCTAGGAACCTGCCACAGAGGGCCTCTGAAAGGCTCTGCCCTGCAGACTATCAAAGCAGATGCTGAGACTTATGGCCGACTGTTGGGCAGAGTGCATGGAATCTTATGTAAGAAGTGGGAAATAGTAAGATCTGGAGAGGACAGGAACTCCACAAGGAAAGCAACAGAACCAGAAAATTTGAACACAGGGGTCTTCTCAGAGACTCATACTCCAAGCAAGTACCACGCATGAAGATAACCTAGAACCCCTGCACAGATGTAGCCCAAGGCAGTTCAGTGTCCAAGTGGATTCCATAGTAATGGGAGGAGGGCCTGCCTCTGACATAAATTGATTGGCCTGTTTTTTGATCACCCCCACCCCCGATGGGGGAGCAGCCTTACCAGGTCACAGAAGATGACAATGCAGCCACTCCTGATGAGATCTGTAGACTAAGATCAGAAGGAAGGAGAGGAGGACCTCCCCTATCAGTGGACTTGGGGAGGGGCATGCGTGAAGAAGGGGGAGGGAAGGTGGGATTAGGAGGGGAGGAAGGAGGGGTTTATGGCAGGATACAAAGTGAATAAAGTGTAATTAATAAATGTTTAAAAATAATTATAAAAAGATACTATTTTTAAAACAATGAAGTATCAGTATAGTTTTCTATATGCAATGCTTGCTACATACTCCCTGCATGTTTTAAAAAATGTAAAAAGAAAAAAGAATGTACTTTTCTAAGATGAAGGGTGAAGTAGCTGAATTTTCTGTCAGCAGAATATTAACTGAGAAAATTTCCTGAGGAAGCAGCAGCTACTATACTACGTATGAATATGATTAAAAACTTTAAATATTTCAGCAAAAGTTTCAAAGAGCTTCTTTCTTCTCCTTCACTGTGGGAGAGATATAGGGCAACCTGAAGCTTATAATGGAATCTTGAAATGGGCTAAGGTGCTGTCTTGCAGTGCCTTTCACTAGGCCTGTGCCCTGCTTAGAGTGATGGCACTGGGGATGCTCAGCATAAGCACATAATTAATAGACGCTCTATAAGCAATCATCTCTCTTGGGTCACTAGGTACAAAAGCTACTGAGTTATACTCAGACTAGTAGTTATCTACCTGAGGCTTCTGTCCCTGATCTTCCAGCAGCTGTTTTCTTCTGCAGCCTCCTTTCTTTCAGAAACTAGGGATACTCAGTGGGGATCATCTCCCCAGACTCTAGAACCTGGAGGCAAGGAGTGAATGGTAAGCCAAAAGGAGCAATGATGCTCTCCCTCCCCAGGCTATTTGGGATCTGCTTGGCTTCTGAATGGAGAGCATGTGCGTCCTAAGGTAGTTCCTATATGGTGCCTGGCAGCAGGAACTCTTCACTTCCACCCAGATGTCCTCTCACAGGAAACCCTGTACTTCTGGAGGTCTGCATTATGCTTTGACAGCCAGCACCCTTCTTCCCAACCCTTGCTTTTTTGCATAAATGTTTTCTCATAAACAGAAAACTGTTTCCAGAGCCGCCTCAACAATTGAGTCTGTAATGGGTGATACTGTAATTTCAAGTCTAATACAAGGTCTTCTGAGCTAGAAAAGGGCAGGGAAAACAAATTCTCTTGGCCTGAGAAGCATCTTGTGTTGACTTTAGCCCTATAAAAGGAACATTCTGCCCTACCTTACCTCAGTCTTCCATCCTTTGATTTCATGTCCCCCATCTACCTCCAGGGCTTTAGGCTTTAACTTCACTGCATTATTTGTTTATGGCAATGACCTATAGACTAGGATCTATCTGGATGGAAAAGGATTCAGGAACCCATCTATTAATTTTCTTTTGAAAATCATATCAACAACATGCAGAAACATTCTTAGCATATCAGATTAAATGTAAATGCCACCTTCTAAAAAATAACAACTTTAATGACATATATTCATATATAATAATATTTGCTCTTTGAAGTGTACAATTCAGTGTTTTTAAAGTATCATCGGTAATTTAAAAACAATTACATAGCCCCAAATGGAAATCTTATGTTATTAGCAGTTTTTCCTAATCCCACCACAATCTTTGGAAATTACCCAATATGTTTGAGATATTGATAACAGACAACAAATTCAGGAGGCAGAGGAACATCAGAATGTAAACCCCCCCCCCCCGCCTGCGAGCGAAAATTGACACCTTTTATGCTGATTTCATTTCAGGTGTCAGGGGGTGGAATGTAATGAGCCTGTAAGACAACAAAGCTGTCAGGAGCAAAGTTGAGACATTTTTGGTGACAGTGACTGGGCAACGCCCCTAAGACACTGAGAGCTTGTAAGACAGCAGAGCTGTCAAGGATAGATAAGAAGATATTTTTAGTAATAGCAACTAAGTAATGCCCTTAAGACATTAAGTAGTGAAATTAAATAATATCAGCTGATTAGCAGCTGGTGTGTGTGTGAAAGAGTAGTAGGCTAAGTGATATTTTAGCATAAAGTATAGAAATTAAAGTAACCCCCTTAAGGCACTAAGTAATGAAATTAGGTAATGCCAGCCGATTAGCTGCTGGTACGTGTGAACGAGTGATATAAGTCAAAGCTATGCCCTGAAAAATCTATAAAAACTGAGCCCACACGGGTGCGGCAGGCCAGACTCTTTGGTGAGTATGCCAAGAGACCGCCACTAACCAGCCAATTCCCGAATGGCTGTTTGAAAAGCCCTGACCACCTTAACAAACCGGTTCTGAAAGGACCACCTTATCAGACTGGCCCTGGAAGGCAGCTCCCGAGCAACCGCAGCTTCCTTCGCCTCTGAGGCCGGAGCAGAGAAGCTCAGAGGCCTGTCAAGTCATCAGAAGGTCTGGCTGGAAGTGAGAAGTTCCGGGGCGGAGAAGACACTCGACACCGGAAGCAAAGTGTCCGAGCCTGTACCTGCGGCCAGGTTGTATTCCCCATAGGATGTATAAAGAGCTAGGCAACTTTTAGATATTTGTGTGATTAAAGCAGCATTCAAAAATCATTCTGGCATTGGCTCTTACCAATCAATACCTTGCCGCCCTCTGTGGCATCTCGGTTAAAGTCCTCCGGCATAATTAGGCGCTCGTGACAACCCTTCAGGTATCGGAGTAGATACCTTTATATTGTTGAGCTCTTTGCATAGTCTGGGGACAAGTCCTTCTCCAGATTTATGATTTGAAGCCCCTTTCCTTCTGTGTATTGTTTTCACCTTCTGTAAGCTGTCATTTGAAAGTTAAGTTTTTAACTGTCTGAAATCATATCTTTTTGTAGCTATATTCACATCTATGAACCCCACTACCTACAGGTCACGGTGATTTTCTTCCAGTTATAAATCTTGCATGGAATTTTAGTCCATTTTTCTTCTTTTGTGAGACAGGACCTCATTTGGCCCAGGCTAGCCTTGAACTTGGTCTACAGCTGAAGGTGACTTTGAACTTTTGATCTTCCTGCCTCTATCTACTGACTGATGGCATGGCACCGTGTCAGATTTATTTGGTGCTGTGGTCAAACCTAGAATTTTGTGCAGTCTAGGCAAGAGCCCTTTCACCTACATTATATCTCACCCTATTGATATCACTATGATGTGTCTAACTGTGAAGCTCTTGAGTTTAAGCTACTTGAGTTATTGTACATATGAATGAATGTTTTTCATAAAATCATAGAATGTATCTGTCATTTCACCAAATATTCTGCCTTTCATTCTCCTCCCTTTTTTCTGGGTTCCCACTGTTTACATATTGTTACTATTAATGGTGCCCTATATGGTTCTGAATATTGTTCATTTATCTGCACTTCTGTCTTCTTGTCCTCCAAGTGGATACTTTCAATCGACACATATTCAACTTCTGAGTCTGTGTTCTGTCAGCGCAAATCTAACAATGAATTTTAGAAGTAAATTTTTCATTCTAGTTGTCATATTTTCCAACTCCTAAATATCTTGATTCTTCAAAAATCTTTTACATATTGATTTTTTTTTTTGGTATACACTGTTTTCATTCATTTAGTCCTTACAATGCTTTCCTTAGTTGTAGCAAGTCTAATGTGGATTTTTCCCCTGACAGTCCATTGACTGCTTTACCCAAGTGTGAGCTATAGTTTCTTGCTTTATGTGCTGTGTGTCTTATGATTTCTGTTGACAGCTATAATAGTGTTGTATCCTGCTTGAACTCTGTAGCCCCTCTGTTGAGACCTACTTTAGTTCATAGCATAACTGTAGCTCCTTGGTTAACACCTGCTATAGCCTTTAGTGTATCAGAAGCCATTTTGCCTCCAAGTCTCCATTTTGATCACAAGGTGAAATTAAGTTCACGTTCCCAGGTTCTACATGCCTGACACTAGGATACAATTCAATAGTTC